GGCGGCAGCTGCAGCAGCAGCAGGCGGTCTGGGGGGGACGAGGCGGAGGTCAACAGCGTGGGCGCGGGGGAGGGGGAGACCATCCAACACTTTCCGCTGGCGGCCCGGCCCAAGTCTCTCCTGCAGAAGCTGCACGTCTCCTTCCAGAGCTCCTGGCTCAAGGAGTTCCCGTGGCTACAATATTGCCAGCAAACCGGGTTAGTGTCTTGCGCTTGGTGCTCGGCCGCCTCGACGACCGCCTCGGCGGACGGTGGCAGCGGCAACAGCCACAGCGGGGGCGGACACGACGAGCTTTGCAAGGGTACGCGCAACTACAAACGCGCCTTGTTCCTCAGGCACCATCTCTCCGCCGAGCACCGACTCAACGAGCCTGTCACTGCTGAGCAGGTCAGTGGATTCGGGGCAGCGATGGTCGGCGGGGAGGGGGAAGGGGCGGGGAAACAGGCGAGGCGGGTGCTGCGCCCCCTCCCTCGGGAAGCTATTTGCCAAGCAGGGTGCCCACGTGTGCGAGCTGCTTTAAATGGATTCTTCCATTGCCTGGGTTTGAGGGCACATTATGCTCCCAGTTCACCTTCTGTCTCGAGTAAGCAGATTATTGTGCCTTCTGCTTTCTGGTTGACTTGTCGGATAGTTTTGTCTAGAGGCTTTATTCAGGGGCCAAGCAACCTTTTAACAATCTGAACTTGTATAACCATTGCCTTGTACTATCCTTGTTGCCCCGATAGCAGTTCCCCCTTTTAACTCATCTGTTATTGTATAAAAGTTAGGGAAGCTATAAGAAAAATTATCCAGACGCATAATTTGCAATCCATCATGAAGACATCTATACTAGTTTATACTTACTGGCTGGCACTTGAATCCTGATAGGTACATTAGTATGATAGTGATGTCATTCATATGCATGACATACTGACACAGGACAATGCATGCTAGGAAGACATAGACAGCTAGAAAAGAAATATTTAAAACAGTGCTGAAGTAAAGTTCTTGGGGATGTCAACATGAATAATCTTCAACATTTTCTTAGTGCTTGCTGGAGTTGCTTTCAATGCCTTTTTTGCAGTCGCTATGGGTGGGTGAAGGGATTATAGCTAAACTGTTTGTTTTCTGAACGTGTATATGTTTCTAGTTTTACATAACAAATTGTTTTACACTAAAGCTTGGGAAGGTTCCGTAGTCTAAAACATAGCTTGACAAATCTTGTGTTATCAAGAGTTGTAAGTTGCGGCTTTTGTGTGGTGTGTGGGTTTTTCTGATTGCAGTTAACAGTTTATTATGCACTCTAATCAGCAGCACCTCAGACATAAAGATGATAGTAAAACTAGTTACTGTACATGTTTCACTTCCACATTAGAAAACCTGAATATGTATGATTAAATTTCTGCCTATTTTATTCTGTTGGGTTTTTTTTTTTGGCTGAATAAAATTGTGTGGCTGAACTTGTTTTATTTCAGAGAACTGAAGGCTAATATTTTTAACTTTATATCAGCCGTTTGTAGTATGTTAAGTTTAGAGAGGGCCACCCAGAGGGTGTTACCCAGTTCAGGAGTTCTAAGATGATGATGATTACCGTGTTTCCCCGAAAATAAGACAGTGTCTTACATTACTTTTTGCTCCAAAAAACGCATTAGGGCTTATTTTCAGGGGATGTTTTATTTTACAGTCATGTCATCTTCTGGTTGCTGCACAATGGTGGAGGGCGGGGTTTCACTTAACTAGGATTTATTTTTGGGGTAGGGCTTATATTAAGGGCATCCTGAAAAATCATACTAGGGCTTATTTTCGGGTTAAGTCTTATTTTCAACGAAACAGGGTAGATGTTAAAGTGACTTAAGTGGAAGTTTATGATTATATTTGATGCAGCCAGGGATGCATACTCAAAGCCTGGTCTACACTGAACCTTGTTGTCTAGAATGGACATTGACTGATTTGGCTTAGAGCTACCCAAGGAAATTCAGTGTGGGGATGTGAGCTTCTGTGTCCATATCTAGCCCTCTGCCCTAGTGGACAGCTGCTTCTTGTTATAAATCTGTCCCAGAATTAGGAGAATGTACCACTTCAATGCATAATGCAGAACATGGGCACTCTTGACAAACTTCCTTCATGCTCCCATACCTGTCCCTCCAGCGCATAGGGAGACATGAGCTCAAGCTGGATAGAAATAAAATGGTTTAATAAAAAATAAAATATAAAAAGGAGATGTGTTTCTATTGAATAATAATAATGATTATAATGATAATAATAATATGGATCTCAAATACGAGTATAAGTGTATTGCCCTTACAGTTAACCTGTAAGCTGGATCATTTGCTTCTTCCAGAAATGTTGAGTTGAAAAGGGTATTTTCATGTTTCTCTGTGCTGTCATGTCACTATTGACTTATGGCAGGGTTTTTGAGTTAATTTGAGATGTTCAAGGAGCAGTTTACTTTTGCTACTTCTTAGTGGTTTTTCGTGACCAACTGGGGTTTGAACCAACACCTGCTATGTTGGATTCCAGTATCTTGTTCAGTACATGACTGGCTGTTTTTCATGAGACTAAAGATTAGGTCCAGTAATTTGTCAGGTATCAGCATTTACATTCTATCTACTGTACATAGGCATTTCATTTTCACTTGATGAAACAGCCCCAATATTAGATTGTATTTTAATAAGTTGAGCCATGAATATTCTACTGGCTTGCTGGTTTGTTTTGTGATGGTGAGTCTAGACTAAGCCAAGGTGAGGCAGAAAGCAGCGACACTGGGAAGAAGACCAAAGTATCCAGTTCACAAGCTGTTGTGTTCCCATTATTAACTTCACAAACCATCAAAGGTGATCATCTTGAAAGACCTTATGTAGGAATATGTTAAAGCCGTTCACTCAATAATAAAAAAGGAAGGCATGTAAATGGGCATGGTGTGAAAGATGTGTTTGTTTCAAGAATAAAAAAATAAATAGTGCTCTGTTTCATTATAAACATCAATTAATAGACTGATTTGCACCACTGTGTGGGAAATAGACCAAGAACTTGATTTATGTCATTTCTTTTCATATTTTAAACAATACACCTAAATTACTCTGATTTAAAATCAATCTACCTGCAGCACCCCTCCTGTGGATTCACTGACTATTGTGTTTATCCTTCCTATTTCTTTGCTCAAAACAGCCAGTTTTGAGCTCATTAGCTGGTGCTACCCTTTACCAGAATATGCCTGTATCTTCTAGCCAGGGCCAGCCTGAGCTTTGGGGAGGAAGGATGCTAAAGAGCAGGCAGAAATTATAGGTACTAGATAGTTACTAGAAAAGACAGGGTGTCTCATTCAGCTACTTTAGTTGGATAAGGTAATTAAAGTGACTGTCCATTCCCCCCTACAACTCTAGGCTAAAAAAAAAAACACCCCTATTTAAGCAGAGCACAATCTAAGCTTCAGGCAGGAGAGGAGGAAACTTTCATTGAATTTGTGCTGTCCTTGGAGGTGGTTTGCCTTGTAAGTTCAGTCTGTTTTCTGATGCAGTTTTGCACACTCTGGAGGAAGATTATAGCAGCCACAGATCTTACTGAGAGTTCTGTGGTGGCTACGTAAGTTTTAACAACAGCACAGCATGTTAATGCTGCATTTAATAGAAGTGTTTTCCATGCTGGAATAATGTTTTTCTACCAAAAAACATTACTATGCTTTTGGGAGGATAGTAACTTGAAGTATCCTGCCTATTTGAGGTTGCTTTTCTGAACTGTGTATATTTTAAGTCTTTTATTATAAAACTTTCACCTATGATTTACCATTGGCAGTGTTCATTTAAGAATGAAATCACTAAACTTTAAAAAAGTTTAATCATTTGACTAGTTTAATCATTTGAATGTTGCAGTCTAGTAAAACAGTATTTCACACAAGCTGTGTCCCCAAGCATTAAGATTCAGATACAGTAGTTGGAGATGCTAACCTAACAATATGTTTTCACAGCACTCCTTTGAGGTGTAGATATGTGAGGCTTTAGTATTTTCAAATTGTACTTTACAAAAATGTAACAGTTTTATGGAAATTCATCTTAACTTCATTGGTGTGTTCTTATTTGTTTCTAAATGGCATCCCTATAGTTACCTCAAGTGATGCTTACCAGAACCGTCTCCTACATTTCATCTTTCTCTTTTTGCTTCCTATGTATATGTATATAGTGATTTTGAAAAATGTTTTGTAGATAATGTCTGGATAATCAAATAGATATTTTACCTGAAAAGAAAGAAGCAATATCTCATTTTTTCTTTTATTCCATATGTAATTATGTGAAATGCTGCTTTTGTTTAAAGTCTTTTAGTGTTATACTCTTATTCAGAGTAATAATATGGAGTATAAAGGATATACAGTGGTGCCTCGCATAACGTTTGCTTCGTTTAACGTTTTTTTCGCTTAACGTTTATTTTTTCAGAGTCAGAGTGTGCTTCGTATAATGTTTTTCCCTATGGGCGATTTTCACATAGCGATTTTGGGACCATGCTTCGCTTAACGTTTTTGGTTTTAGGTCCCCTGCTTCACTTAACAATGTTCATTTTTTCAAATACAAAAGTGTCTTAACATGTTGAAAAACGGTTTTAAATGCTTGGAATCGTTAGTGCACCTTCTAAAATGTGTGCATACTTAATTTGGCATTGATCTGACTTTTCGTTAATTTTTTGTGAATTTTTTTCTCCCCCATAGGAAACAATGGAGCTGTCAGATTTTGACAGCTGTCAAAAGTTGGGGGGGAAAATTTCACCATAAATTAACGAAAAGTCAGATCAAAGCCAAATTAACTTTTGCATCCGTTTTAGAGGGTGCAGAAGCTAATCCAAGCATTTAAAACCATTTTTGACCCTTTTATGACACACTTAAATTTGCAAAAATTGACTTCGCAAAGCCATTGAAATGTACTGAGTCGGCTTCAATACATTCCAATGGAGGAAACATTGTATCGTTTAACAATGTTTCCTATGGGTTTTTTCGCTTAAGGACGGCAATCCGTGCCTATTGGAACGGATTAACCGGTTTCCAATGCATTCCTATGGGAAATGGTGTTTCACATAAAGTTTTTTTCACATAAGGTTTTTTTTTTTTTGGAACCAATTAAAAACGTTATGCGAGGCACCACTGTATATCATTTTAAACAGATACAAGAAGCTGTTTTCACTCTTCAGTTTAAAGGCTTGCTAGAATAGATGAGGATGTTAGCCTCTAGTCTCATGGGCTTATCTGAATTAAATCGTTCAGCTAATAAAAATCCCACTATTTGTACATATTATATTTCAAAGATATTTGAAAGAAGAAACTTGGTAGCACCTCTACATATCAGTGGTGTATATTTCTTTGCAGAATGTATGGATTGTGCTTGGTTTTTTACTCTTGTTATCTGCTTATACATACAGTCTTGGCA